AGCTGTCATCTGGGACAGTCAGCAGCCAACTCAGAGTCATCTGCAGCGTCATGATGTGGATATTACCCTGGCAGGGCTGCTTCTAGTGTCAAGCAGGTGACCCGTCCAGGTGCCAAATTTTAAGAGGATCACTGACAACTCGAGAGCTTCCAGAGGAGGGTAACCAGGACAATGAGGGGTTTGAAAAACTGGGTCATTTAACAAAGTACTGAAATAAGCTGGGGACTTTTTTTTTCTTTTTTGATCTAGCAATGAGAATATCTGAGCAGTCATTAGGCACATGTTGAAATATTTGGATGAAGATTTACACTTATTCTATTTTTCCCAGATGACGAATCTGAATCAATAAACAGAAGTTACAGTGAAGCAGATTTCAACTGAATATTTAGAAACTTTCTTATAACTCAATTCTACATGAAATGCAATGAGCTGTACCTATGCAAGCCGAGGATGAAGACTGCCTGTCGGGGACATTGTAGATAAGAGGCAGAGATTCTGCATTGCTAGGCCTGGGATGAGGCTTGGAAGGTGTATTTTTTAAAAAGCCCCATCAGGCTGTGTGTGGTGGCGCACACTTGTAATCCCAGTACGTTGGGAGGCTGAGGCAGGAGGATCACTTGAGCCCAGGAGTTTGATGTCGCAGTGACCTATGACCACGCCACTGCACTCTAGCATGGGTGACAAAGCAAGACCCTGTCTCTTTAAAAAAAAAAAAAAGCCCCATCAGCTATAAAACTCTTAGAAGAAAATATAAAGGAAAAGCTGTGTGATAGTGGATTTGGCAACGATTTCTTGGATATGACACCCAAAGCACAGGCAACAACAACAACAAAAAATAGATAAACTGAACTTCACCACGATGAAAAGCTTCTGTGTATCAAAAGATACTATCAACAAAATTAAAAGGCAACCCACAGAATGGAAGAAAATACTTGCAAATCATGTATCTGGTAAGGCAGCTAATGTCTAGGATATATAAAGAACTCTCTACAGCTCAACAAAAAAATAAACAACCCAATTTAAAAATGGGTAAAGGACTTAAATAGACATTTCTCCAAAGAAGATATGCAAATGGCCGATAAGTACATGAAGATGCTCAATATCACTAATCATTAGAGAAATCAAACCACAATGAGATATCACTCCACATCCATTAGAATGGTTATTGTTAAAAAACAAACAAACAAACAAACAAAAAACAGGCTGGTCTGATGGTAGTGGGTTATCAGAACTTACTAACATTAGTGTCACTAAAGTTGGTATTCAACGCCCCACTGCTAAATTTGACTGGCTTAAAAAAAATAAAAAAAACACCAGAAAATAGTGAATGTTGGTAAGGATGGGGAGAAATTAGAACCCTCGTGTATTGCTGGTAGAAACATAAAATGGTGCAGCCACTGTGGGCAAACAGTATGGTGGTTCCTCAGAAAATTAAACACAGAATTACCATATGTTCCAGCAATTCCATTTCTAGGTCTATACCCAAAAGAACTGAAAGCAGGGACTTGAACAATGTTTATATACCAATGTTCAGAGCAACATTATTCACAATAGCCAAAAGGCAGAAACAACCCAAGAGCAGATGAACAGATAAACAAAATGCGGTATATAGTTACAATGGAATATTACTCAACCTTAAAAAAGAATGAAATTCTGACGCATGCTACACCATGGATGAACAACGATGATACTATGCTAAGTGAAAGACAAATACTGTATGATTCCACTTTTGTGAGTTACCTAGAGTAGTCAAATTTATGGAGACAAAAAGTACAACGGTGGTCGCCAGGGGCCAGAGGGAAGAGGAAAGGGAAGCTACTGTTTATTGGGAACAGAGTTTCAGTTTGGGTAGATGACAAAGTTCTGGAGATGGATGGTAGTGACGGTTACACAACAGTGCGAATGTACTTAATGTCACTGAACTGTACACTTTAAAATGGTTAACATAAAATGGTAAATTTTATGTTATGTATATTTTACCATGATTTTTAAAAATAAATAATTTTGAAGGTATATGATTATTTTGGCAGTAGTATCAGAGAGTCGCTTTCCTCATTCTAGTTTCCTGACTTCAGTTTGACGAATTTGCCTTCTCCAATGTGTGGATGGCAACCCAGGAAGGGGCCTGGTGTTTGGATGGGTTTGGATGGAGGGTTGACTTGCTGACTGGAGACTGAACAGTGGCTTGGGAAGATCCCAAGTGGACGATTCCTCTGCAGATAACTGAGAGCACTGAGCGGTCCGAATCACTGTCATCTTTTACGGCTCACTCGGACAGCCTGTGGCCGATCACGTTGCCCAGTGGAGAAAGATCAGCTTCCCTACTCTGCCGGCCCCAGGCTGGGAGCTCCCGGGAGGTAGGAAAGTGAATGGCAGTGGGCCCAGGCTGATGGGCGGATGGGGGTGTCACCGTGTGGGTGAGGAGGGGAGCGCGGAAGGCCACCCCTACAGGGAATAGCCCTACCCATTTTATGACTAGGAAAAACAATTTTTTTAGGAATAGGACATTTTCTAAATTACAAAATCTGGATGGAAGCCACAGTTGGGGGGTGGGGAGGGACCAATACGAGGCTGAACAAGGACAGCCTGGGTTTGCATGAGAGTTGCTGGAATCTAGGATGCCCTGTTTCTAATTAAAACCACAACAACACTTAACCATGAAAACGCATAATTGAGGAGTGACTATTTACGTTAAAATTACTGGGGATTAAAATTGATTCCCTTCGACTCTCACATTTAAGGATGGCTGCGTTTACAGGCCCGGAAAGGAAGTTAACAAAGTAAAGTGTTAAGGGTTACTGCTAACTGAAGACTGACCATTAAAAACCCACGTGAACTTATCTTGTAAACTAGCTCCACGGTTTGCAGTAAGCTCTACTTTATGGATATTGTCATGGCAACAATTTATTCTGTATTCTCCATGCAAACTCGAGGCTTCCCTGGGCTTACAGGTGGGGGTGGAGTAAGGTGCAGGGGGGTGCAGGGAGGGCAGGTTCTTATTCCTGCCAGCCTCAGTGAATTCGGATTATTTTTTTAACTGTGCACACACACTGTCCAGAGAAAAGAGGATAAAGAAAGGGTGGATAAAGGACATCTTTCCTGCTCTCCCTCAGCATTCCGCGCCCCCGCACCCTATTATCTATGTCCCTGGGACAGGCCAGCTGCTACTAGAGCTGTCCTTGCTCCTGATTCTGAACCAGTGGCCTTCTGGTCAGACTACACATTGCCTGAGGGCAAGGGTTGTGTCCCTCCATCAGTCTGGGACTCTAACAACAACAACAATAATAGTAACAGAAACAATAGCTAATATTTAGTGAGCATTTACAATGAGCCAGGAACTGTTCTAAGAACTTTACATATATCAGCCCATTTAATCCTCAGGGTGGCCTGAGATAGTCCTACTATTATCCGCATTTAGCAGGTAGACAAACGAAAGCCTGGGAGGTTGCCCAGCCTCATACAGCTAGTTAAGTGTCAGAAGTCCTGCCACCTTCCTCGGACTGGGACTTCTCTGAGCCGGGGGTCCTGTGCCTCCCAACGCTTGGGGGATTTTCTGAGCCCTTCGCCCCACAGGGCTTGCGCCTCCCTCTGCCTTGACCAGCAGGGACCTCTCAGAGGGCAGGGACCCGACACTTGCTCAGAGACGCTTCCTGGGCAGAGGCTGCGTGGCGCAGCTCCTCAGACACCTGGGCTGTCCTTCCTGCCCGGCACAGGCCTCTGACCACAGAAGGAGACTTCTCTCCTGTCCCCGCTCCAGGCTGGCGGATCTGGCGTGAGAGCCGCTAGCCCCTGGGACTTAGCAGGCGGTAAACAACCCCATTCATGCGTCAGTTGTTTTGCTCCAAAGCAGCCTCATCAGCTGGACAGGCCCTGACCAAATCCCTCCAAGTTTGTCCCCAAGGGTGGAGAACAGTGGACGGCCTGAAGCTTGGCTCTTGGTCTTTTCCGAGGAGAGGCTACTTGCCACTCCCTTGAAGTCTGAGATTTTTACTGGGAAGAGGCAGTCCCTAGTAGTAAGATTTTAAATCCCTGAGAAGGAGGGGAAGGGGTGTGGCTGCTACTTGTGTGGTCCCTTGGGTAGGGTGGGGGGGTGAGTCCCAGTAAACCAAGAAAGAAGAGTGGAAAGTGGTGGTCCGCCTAGAGGAGCTTCCAGAGCCATTGCAGCAATCTGGTCTCAGGGCTCGGAACAGTTGGCCAGGACCCCTAAGCCCAGCACTTCCCCATCCTCTCCCCTCCTCACTTTGTAGACTGTCACCTCTGTCCAGGTTGTCTCCACAGGCTCAACCCTGTCAATTCATGCAGCAAAAGAAAAGATGAGGGCCCCTGTAGGGCAAAGGGCAGGAAAGAAGGGTTTGATAGACGAGAGTAGGGCTTGGGAGGTTGCATTATTGGCAGAAGGTTTGTAGAGGAAGAAACCCGAGGACACTGAGGGCCATGGAGTAGGTCGAGGACAAGGAGGCTGGGAACCCCTGGCAAAGGAGGTGACATCCTGCTACCACTTTCCGTTGACCAGTGCTCTCACCCACTTGCTCTTGTTTGCTCTTCTTAGCAGGTAGATAGATGTGGCACTATTATCCTCTTTTTGCAAATGCGGAAGCAGATTAGGTTGTCTAGACTCTAGACCCAGGGCACAGAATAGCTGGGACTAAAATGGTTTTCCAGGGCTCTTTGGCCAATTCTTTTGGAGGCAAAAAACCAGAAAGGAGGGTGGGGCATACCACAGAATGACAGCCACAGGGGCCAACGAGAGGGAGGTGCTTTCGTTGGCCAATCAGCTCCTCATGTGTAGGCCCCGCCCACCACGCCCAGGTCTAGAATAAACCACATGGAGTTTCAGAGGCAGTCACAACCTGCACACAGAGCCTTGCGCAGATCCATTTCGTCATGGCACAAAACCCCTGCTGGGGTTCCACTCCACTTGCAAGACGTGCCCTCCTAGTGGTCTCTCCACCGTCCTCCCCGCCCCCTGGCTCAGCTGTCCAGGGAGCCCCTGCGCTTACCCGGTGGTGATGTCGTCGTCCTCGGTCATCGTCTTGCCCATGAGGTCACTGTCGCTCATGTAGCCGGACTTGAGGTCCACCTCGTCCGAGTCCAGGGACTCGACCAGCTCCAGGCGGGAGATGTGGCTGAGCTTGCTGGGGCTGCGCATGGGCATGGTGTGCGAGTAGTGGGCGCGCTCCCCGTGCAGGTACCAGGCGGGCGGCCCCTCCGAGCGGCAGCTCCCGCCCACCGAGGGCGCGTCGCCAGCCTGCAGCCGCGGGCTGGACTGGCCGTAGCGCCAGGACAGAGGGGACGAGCGGTTGGAGAGGCTGGATACGCTGCGAGGGTTGGCGTCATCGCTGTCATAGCAGGTCATCTCCAGGGAGCTGGGCAGGGAGCAGAGGGCACGGCTTTAGTCCTGGGCACCGCCGCTCTGTGCCCGGTCCCCTCCCACTGGGCCCAGCAGTGCCTTCCCCTGCCACACGCCCTCCCACTTCCCCCGACCAGCCCAGCCCGCCTCTGCCATAAGGCCTCTGATTGTGCCTTACCCTTGTATGTTACCTCAGCTTGTCAAAGGAAAATGATTTTAAGTGGCCAGAGAAGCAAGCAATCCAGTTAAGAGTCCAGATTGTGTAACATGACCTGGGTTTGAAGTCTTTTTTGCCATTTATTAGTGAGTGAGCAGGAGGAAAGTAATTAACCTTGCTAAGCCTCTATTTCCTCATCTGTAAAATGGGGAAAACAGCATAATAGCGACTTCATAGGGTGTGAGGATCACATACGTACAGATCTAACACAGTGCCTGGTACATACAAGGTGGTCCCTAAATGGAAGGGGTCAATGAGACCTCTTAGGGGACATGGGAGAGACTGGTCACCTGAGCTTGGAAGGCCCTGAGCACTCACGTGGTTCAGGGTGTGCCCACCACCTCTTTTCCAGTATGAGCTCAGGGCTGGCTGATTCCTGAACACCAGCTGTAGGAAAGCCCAGAGTGGGGTGCGGAAGGTACAGAAAAAGCTTTGGGAACCAAGATGTGTGGCAGGTCCCCAGCAAGACCAGAAATAGCCACAGGCCTAGGGCAGCAGGGGAAGAAACGGAGCCTCTCTAGGGAACAGGAGCAGCCTGAACCGGACAGACAGGGGGACATGGGGATATGGGTTCAGGGCTGGAGCAGGAAGTTGGGGATCCCAAGCCTCAGGCCCTGCTAGGCCAGGCCAAGGGGGTGACGCCCAGGTCAGTGCGAGATGGCCGAGGCTATCGGAGCCTGGGGGTCTGGGGAAGGAGATGGGGCCAGGGTGGCTGCAGAGAGGAGATGCAGCCAGGGCCGGGACGGAGGGGCCTGGACTTGGGTTCAGGCTGAGAGCGGTAACTCCACCCGGCCCGGCAGCGGGGCCAGCCCAAGGCAACCTGAGGTCGGGTCCCCGCGGCCTGGCAACTATAGCCGGACAGGGCTGAGTCAATGACATGGGGCCTGGGGGCCGAGAAAGCTGGGGCAGCTGAGGCCGCTGGGGCTGGACGCGGGCTACGTGAGGCAAAGCAATCTTTGCTCTGTGAACCCAGCCATTTCTTCGTCACTCCGGGGGCGGGGACGGGAGCGGGACATTGATTTTGCTATTCTTGTTTCTGTAAAGTTCCTTGAAAAAAAGAAAATTTTCCAAGTTGTCTTTATCGGACCTGAGAAAACAAGGTTTTATTTTTTGATCTACAGAACTGGAGAGAGCCCAGTGGCCCCTGAACCGGAGCGCGGCGGGGCCCTGGCAGTAGTCCTTGGGCAGGCGGGGGGCAGGGCTGGCCAGGGCAGTTAGTGACCGCTGCTTCCGACCCCACTGGGGCTTCCCGACCGGTCCACGCCCAGCTTCTCCCCCCGTTAGGATCCCTCAGTGTTCTGCAGCTCTGCCTCAGACACGGTGTCGTCACCGTGGACCTCGACGTCTCATCTCCTCGGAGACAATGCAGGTTCCCTGAGTTTGTGCTCACGGTGTGATCCTGCTGCCGTGCTCACCGCTGTATTTCTGCACTTTGCACGGGGACTGGCGTGTGGCTGGTGCTCAAGAATGAACCCCAGCGGGCGCTTTGGGAAGCTGAAGTGGGAGGATCGCTTGGGCCCAGGAGTTTGAGGCCAGCCTGGGCAACACAGTGAGACCCTGTCTCTACAAAAAGTTTAAAAATTAGCCAGGTGTGGTGGTGTGTGTGCCTGCAGTCCAGCTACTCGGGAGGCTGAGGTGGAAGGATCACTTGAGCACAGGCCTTCAAGGCTGCAGTGAGCCGTGCTCACGCCACAGCACTCCAGCCTGGGTGACAAAGAGAGACCCTGTCTCAAAAAAAAAGGAGCAAACCAAACCCACGACGGATGTGCGCTTATGTACATTGGCATGGGGGCACGAGGGCTGCACTGAGCATCGCGTTCTTCGGTTCTATTCCTGGCCTGCCCCCTGTTTAGCTCTCTGCACTGAAGTACCTCTTGCCTCACTCCATGGCTCTTTTTGTAATCCCCCAAACACATTCTAGACATCTCTGGAGCTAAGGTGGTGCGGAGGATTCTAGCTCAGATCCTCAGTTCTTGACTTCCAGCCCTGCACCCACCCTTCGGCTTCCTCTCTCTGGGGGGACAGAGTTTCATTTCCCTCCAGTCGCGTCTCCGGCCCACGCTCTCCTCGCTGGGGGAAAGGAACCAGGAGAAAGAGAGGAAGCAGCGCGGGAGTAAAGGTTTCTGAGACGGAATCGAATCGAGAGTTATCCCGTGAGTTCCTGGGTGAAACAGCCTTGCTGGAAGCACTCGCTGGACTGCAAGCAGCTCAAGGAGAAAGCTGGCGTTTGTTCTGAAGGGCCGGTGCCCAGTGCTGGGCCTGGCACACGCTCTGGGCGTGCCGAGTGCAGAACCCGCCCTAATTAGCCTGAGTGACTCTAGCAAGTGCCTCCCTCTCCCCAGCCTCAGTTGCTCCTTCTCTACCCAGGGAACGTGCATATATCCTGCCTGCTCCCAGGGAAGGGCTCACGGACGGAAACCCCTTTAAAAAGTAAAAGAGGCCGGGCGAGGTGGCTCATGCCTGTCATTCTAGCACTTTGGGAGGCTAAGGCGGGAGGATCTCTTGAGGCCAGGAGTTTGCTGAGACCAGCCTGAGCAACACAGTGAGACCCCATCTCTACAAAAAATAGAAAAACTATGCCAGGCGTGGTGGCTCAAGCTTGTAGTCCCAGCTACTCAGGAGGCTGAGGCAGGAGGATCGCTCAAGTCCAAGAGTTTGAGGTTGCTGTGAGCTAGGCTGACGCCATGGCACTCTAGCCAGGGCAACAGAGTGAGACCCTGTCTCAAAAAAAAAAAAAAAAAAGTAAAAGAGCCATAAAAAGTGAGGAATCATTGTTCTGTTCGGCTACCGAAGTGTGGAACGGGAATAACATAAACCAAAGCCTAAGAGAGGAAGTGGCTGTGGATCCGCAGTAAACAGAAAAACCAGCTTCGGGGCTCTGGGTTCCCTTCCCATAAAGGAGACAGAAGCCAGAGGCCTGAGGCTCTACCCTCAAACCAGTCCGCTTTATGCAAAAGGCCCTGAGCCTCCCCTTCCCCTCCAGAAGCAGAAAACAACAGCACCTGTCTAGGGTCAAGCTGCCATGCTTAACGGGGGCTCAGAGCTGGAGCCCAGAGTTATTGGCACCGGGGGGCTGGAGCTGCTACCTCTGCCCTTCCCCTGTGGCTGACTCATCTGGGGTGTGACCCTCTCAGCAACCAAGCAGTTTCTGGCTTCTTTGGCGTGAGACTGACGGGTGACCTGGTGCTGAGAGATGTTCCAACAACTTCCCTGGATGGGAAGGAAGATGTTCAAGATTTCACTCCCTGGGTCCCTAAACTGGTGAGCCAAGCTGGGCAAGCCCCCCGCTCCACGTGGGGCTCCTGCTCAGGGCTGTGAGGGATAGAGGTGGCGGGGACTGATGGAGGGGGCCTGCACCCCACCATCCACTTTTCTTCTCAAACCTCCTGATCACCTCCCTTTCAGTAGTCAGGGTCCCATTGGCCTGAGCAGATATAACCCCAGAGAGAAGCTTTGATTTGTCTTATCATTTAAAACATTCTAGATGGCTGGGAGTAAAGGGCTGAGCTGGGGGCATGGGTGGGGATGTGGCAGTAGTGCGAGGAAGGAGACGGTCGCTCTAAATAGGAAGAACTAGGGCCAGTGGACGAACGCTGCTGAAGATCGAGTGCAGTTCCTCACCCTAGTCACCGCAATCCCACAATGCACTGCGATGCTTGAAAGGTAGTGAGTTCTCTGTGGTTGGAGGTATGTAAATGTGTCTGGATACAACTTGGTCTGGCCACACACTGGAGTAAGAAAAGCCCTTTTCCATTGTCCCTATGTCCCAACTTTGCTCTCAACTTTCCAACCCCAGGACGTGGAGAGGAATCTACTTCCAGTCCAACTGGGGGGGGGTGCTTTCTAACCCTGACACAGCCTTCCTGCTCCACACCCCCCATGATTTCCCAATCCTGGCTGTCTGCTCTCCCTCTTTCTGTCCCCGGAGCTTAGCCCAGCCCTCTGCCCCCCTGGAGCTGACAGCATGAGCTCATCTGGGCAGCCCAGGAGCCGGCAGGGGAAATTCTGAGTCACGGCAGAGGCTGCGGCCAGGACGCTGCTGCAGGCAGAGGTGCCGTGGGAGGGGTGCGTGCCGCCCGCAGAGGAGGCTGTGAGATCTCTGTGAGGCCTGGGTTGGAGGGACCCAGGGCATGGAGCTGGGGTGACTCCGTGTGGGCCCTGCTGAGCACTCAGGCTTCCCTCGGTGGCTGCCGGAAAAGGCCAGAGGGCACTAACTTACAGGGTGGAGAGCCCCAGGCCGCGAGCCGGGACCCCAGAACAAGGAAACTGTGCAACAGGAGCAGAGCGTTTAGTAAAACCTAAAACAGCTGCTGGCAGATGAGGAGACTGAGGTCTAAGGAGGGAAAGTGAGCATCGAAGATCACACGCTGAGCTGTGTGACAGCTCCGGCTTCGCCCCCTCTGCTGGTGATTCTCAAGCTGATTTTGCTTAAATGAAACTGAATGCTCGAGCACCGCAGACATGAAGCAGAGCTGAGCTGCTTTCCTCAGAATGACTGGATCCCCCTCCGCCTTCAGCGGCGGCTCCGTGGGGCTCAGACGAGCCGTGCACACGGCAGGCACCCGGCTGACCTGAGGAGCCCAGGTAGAGGTGCGGAGGACGGGGAGAGGACAAGGAGAGCAGAGGGCAGGACGCCCTCTGCAGCTCGAGCTTACCTGTGAGTCACCTGGGACCCTCGCAGGCTGGACATGGTCTCTTCCAGGTTCTGTCGAAGATCCAGGACATTCTGCACTGTCCTCTTTCTCTGGGACTCGGGGTCTGGAGGGAGGGAAGGGAGAGCTGGATGAGCGGACAGGACTAGGGGTGAGCAAAGTGGAGACTGACCACATCCGCAGGCACGGTAGTCACCTCCCTCCTCCTTCGGCCAAAGACGACCGGCAGAGTGGCCCTCCCAAAGGCCCTGGACACGAGCCCTTGAGCCCTCTCAAGCCCAGACCGTGGCAGGGGGCCACAGGCATGGCCTTCTGTGCCTGTGCACTCCTCTCAGACCCCAAGGAACTGCCTCTCCCCCTGGCTTTGTTGTGCAGAGGCCCCGCCTCTCACAGTGGAGGTCACGGGCAGGCTTTCTCCTGGTGGAGATCAGCCGGAACATCTGCCCGAAACCCCCTCTCCCGTGGTGTGCTGGTCAATGTTTAACAACTGGCTCCTGACACCCTGCTGTGTAGTGTCTGCCAATTTCTGTGGTGTAAATACTCCTGCCACGGCCACGTTCAACCCACCAACATGATGTCACTGACCACAAAGTCAGGAAGAGACGCAACACTTGGCTCTGAGGGGCTGATGCGAGCTGGCTTCAGCATACTGGAGCCCCTGGCACCGACTGGTAACAGCTGGGACTGCTCTATGGCGTCAGGGATGACAGTTCAGATACAGCCCCTGACAGTGAGGCGGCTGGTGGGGAGGAACAGGGGATGGGCGACATTTTTTGGAGCGAGGACTGAGCTCTGGGCACTCCCCGCACCAGTGCTGCGATCCTCAGTGAGGAGGACACTTGGGTGCGGCCCCGTCCTCAGACTCCTGAGTGATCAGGAGTCGCTTTATTCGAGCGCGGTTTCCGACAGGTGAGAATCAACAACAGCAAACAGAAACTTTCCCCACCTTCTTTCCAGGGTGAAAATAACGTCCCAATGACTGAGCAGGGAGGAACTCGAAGAACTTCCTCCTTCCTTCCTTCAATCCACCCAGTAAGTTTTTATCAAACACACACTTTGTGTCCGGCCCCCCGTTAGGCCCTAAGGACAGTACGATGACGAGGCCCCGCCCTGCGGCTCATCTCCACTCTGGACCTACAGTCACTGAATGGAGCCGCACCCCCCAGCGCCAGCCTCAGAGACAATCTGCAGGAGAGAGTCAGGGACCGACAAAAAGATGACGGTGAAAGGACAGAGAAAACCGAGAATTCGGGCTCTGCAGGCTGCTTCCCTCCCCTCATCCCCAAACCCTCTGCTGAAGCCACACTGCCCCGCAGCCCCTCCGCACAGACGCAGCGGGAGTATGAGGTTCTTTTAGCTGCCAAAGGGAACATTTCTGAATCCCTTCAAGGGGTGTTTTTTTCCCCAGGCTTAGGTTCGGTGGGTGGCAGGCAGCTGCGTGATTGTCTTGTTGGCAGAGGAGAGGCTGGGTGGGGGGGGCAGGGAACAGGCCGCGCTCTCCGGGGCCTTTGGCCACCTTTTCTGAGAACCAGCTCCACGCCCAGGCTGGGCCATCTCTCCTGTCCCCTCCCCGAGGGTGCGCCCCCTCCCTCCTCTCACGGTCAGCGCCAGGCGTGCGGGCTTCGTGCTGGTGGCGAGGAGCAGTGATAAATGGCAGGGTCCGTGCCAGTGGCCTGAGCTCTGGCTCCAACCCTGGCATCGCCTTTGTGACAGCCAATGCCTATTTATCCTGGCCTGGCGTCACCTTGTAAGTTGTTCCGTGGCTTTAACTGACGGCGTGGCGTGGGACACAGACAGGGTCAGAAAGTGAGTATGTATACTTTAGAGTATAGTTCGCAAATGCCTATGTGGGGACCAAGAGCACGGTGCCAAGGTATCGGTTTCTGGGCCAGGGCGACGCTTTCTATGGGTTTGGCAGAGATGAGGGACAGGCACATGCATCTGGGGTGTATATTCCCAAGGAGGAAGGTGACCAAGAGTAACTCAAAGTCTTCTGTGTGTGCCAGACCCTTTGCATGCATCCTCTACTTGAATCCTTACATTTCTAGGAGATCCGTGCTACTGTCCCATTTTACAGATGAGAAAACCGAGAAACAAGTTAATTGCCCAAGGTCACCTGTCTAGTATGCAGCACAGGCAGAGGTGAGCCCAGGAAGAAACTCGTATTTATTTTGACACATCACTAGCATCAAGCACAGTAACTGCATAGAAGGTGCTTAATGAACAGCTTAAGAATGGGGGAACGCTACCGCAATTTTTAAACTTTCAAAAAAATACATTTCAAAAGTGGATGGATACATGTCGCATAAGGAAAATGTCTTTTGTTTTGTTTTTAAAAGAAAAATGTCTAAGCCACACGGTTGCTGGCCTCAGAAGGGTCACTCTGCATTCCCTAAAGATCCGGGCCCTGGGACATAGAGCTGGGTGGTAGGAACCTAGATCTGAATGCCCCAGTAGTGACAACGAAAAAGACGCTTTGGTATTTTTCATGACACCAGTCACAGTGCCCTCTGGCCCACTATCTCTTCCTTCAAAGACCTCCACCCTAGCCCCTACCTCATTCCCATGTCGCAGAGTGTGGCAGGATTACTTCATAGTTTCCTGGACTCGCCAAAAATTAGAGCCACAGGGTCCTTGGAAGTGGCTCAATCCATCCCTGTCCCTGGACAGATGGGAGGCTGAGGTCCAGGGAGGGAGTGACTCGCTGGGGATCACTAATGGAAGAACATCTCACCCAGGCAGCTTCCCCACAGGTGCAGGTTGGGGGCACGCAGGGGAGGAGCTTAGCGCAGAGCTCAATCTGCGGCGGTGGCAGGATCTGCTCTCAGCTCCGAGGTGGAGATGGGTCCTGCAGAGGCTACACCCTAAAGCGCCCTCTGTGCCCCAGCAGTGTCCCCTGGTGGCCATCTTCGGTATATCACTCTGCTTCTCCAAGGCTCGGCAGGGCGGGTCTGGTGGGTGGGGGCTCCTGAGAAGTCTGGCTGTCGTCCACACCCTTGGGTGACAGACACATTCCTGGGGGTGTGCAGCGCAGCCCCAGGCCAAGAAGATGTAATGCATATAAAGGGAGGGCTCTGCAGCTGAAGGGGCTGCAGACACTGCCTAGGTTGTGGGGGGGGGGCAATTTGACATTCACACCCATGACCCTGAAGGTGAATTTTTACACTTGTAGCTTAACAATATGAGTAAGTTGCATCTGCAAGAGAATTTACGTCATGTCTCACACTCTCCTTCCCCCTACCGCACCCCTCTCCCCAACCCATAACTAAGCTTCACCCGTTTCTCACCTTGTCCCCCAAGGGTGAGGATCAGGGATGGGGTGAAGGTATTTGAGGCACATTTGTGATGATGAGAACAGCAACCTAAAAGTTCAATGATTTCTTTTACTAGCTAAGTCAAAGGTCTGGTCTGGGCCAGGCGCTGTGGCTCACACCTGTAATCCTAGCACTCCGGGAGGCCAAGACAGGAGGATCGCTTGAGCTCAGGAGTTCCGAGACCAGCCTGAGCAAGAGTGAGACCCCATCGCTACTAAAAATAGAAAAAATTAGCCAGGCGTGGTGGCACGTGCCTGTAGTCCCAGCTACATGGGAGGCTGAGGCAGGAGGATCGCTTGAGCCCAGGAGTTTGAGGTTGCTGTGAGCTATGATGATGCCACTGCACTCTAGCCCGGAAGACAGAGTGAGACTCTTGTCTCAAAAAAAAAAAAAAAGTTTGGTCTGGGTTCAGGGTCAGCCTAGGGGACAAAATAGAGCCCAAGCGTGGCAGAGATGAAGGAGTCTGGTCGCCCATCTCCTCCTGCAGTATCCCTCAGCCTGGGACATGCTCAGAGCACTCGGCCTGTGTGGCACCTTCGTGCAAATTAGAACAAGGTACTCTCCAGGCTGGCCCAGCTCTGGCCAGGCCCACGCTTTGGCTAGCAGAGTACACCTTCCTCCTTCGCTGGATGCCAGGCCAGGACAATCCCCGCCACACCCACACATACACAGTCTTATTCTGAGGGCCTGGGAGTGCCCGCTGTCTTAGTGCCTACAGAACAAGGTCCAGCTCCAGGAGTGGAGTGTGTGTACGACAAGCAGGGTTGGAGGGAGGCCAGTCAGGGCTCCTAGCAGTCCCAGGGGGACACCAAGGTCTGTGGGGGGAGCTCATGATGTTATCCCGGGCTGCTCCTCCAAGCCGTTCCCTGAAAATGGAGCAACCAGGGAGGATGTGTGCGCTCTTCAGGCTCAGAGGAGATGCAAGAGTCTCCCCCAACCCAGCCATCACCATGGCAACTCACAGTCGCCGCAAACAGCAGCATCCTCCCAGCATGCACTCGGGCATCTGCAGCATAGGGTGGTGTTTCTTTCCACACACTGTTGGCTCTTCCACAGGACCACAGAGAGCACACTGTCCACATCAAGAGTCCTTGGGGCAAGGACTGGCAATCGAATATACCTGACACACAGGCGCTCACACACACAAATGCAAATACCGCCCAGCTACCGAATGTTTGCCACAAGGCATTTTCCATGTTATTTAATTTGAGCTAGAAGATTCATCACAGGTTTGTTTGGCTCCAAAGCCTCTGCCCTTTCCACTAAAATGCGGTGCCTCAAAATACAGAGACGTACCTCCAGACATACACACCCACTTGTGGTCCAGGCTGTAGTTTGCAGAAATCCTCATACAGTTCTGCAATTCTGCAGATACATGCACGGAGAGATTTATGGGGATATATCTCCCACTGTAGGGGAGGAAGAAAGAAGACTAAAAAGATGCTAGAGGAAAGGAGGTAATTTAACCTAGAGAAGGAATGGCCAGGGTGCTCTGGGAGGATGATGGTAAACAGGGTCCTTCTATCCGCTGCAACGTCAGAACAGGGGAAACAGGCTTCCCCAGGACCACGAGCTCGCTCACACCAAGACACTGAGACACTGGGGCAAACTGACAGTGTGGTGTAGTGGCAAGAACATAGTTCTTACTGTCAGAAAGACCTGAGTTTCAGGTCCTGGCACTGTCCCTTCCTAGCTCGTTTGACCTTGAAGAAGTCATCTCACCTTACTGCAGTTTTACTCCTCTGTAAAATGGGGAGAGAAATGGTACC